ATAAAAAAAAATACGTGTCAAATATTTTTTTGAGAACTATATCTCACTTAAGTTTCAACAAAATCGGCGTGTCGGAGTTGGATATGTTCCCTTGTAAGAGTTTGTCAAGAGGATGAGTTGGGGCTCAAGACTTGCTCTGATGCCAGACACCTGATTCCAACAGTACTGATCCGATCGTGTAATTCGCGACGCGAATAGTACTATAACACACAAATTGACCTTGTCGAGCAACTCGGGAAAAGTCAAACGGTGCCTGTACTATGAGATTCATGCACTTATTGAGAGCAACCAGAAGATGTCGGCAGGCACAATATGGGCTGGGCGACACTTCGGTTACCCAATCTGAGTATGAACCTTATTCGAACAAATTCACCTCCAAACAGAGTGAAAGCAGTGCCACACGGTCGTGTCTACCTCTTCACAAAGGCATTTGAGAACAAGCAAGGAGTAGCGGCAGGGCACTTTCGTGAGCTGGGCGATACTCTGGATAATCAAACGAATCTGTGAGCTGTGCCGCGATCAAATATGGCAGAAATCAACCAATTCCACACCAGCGAGACTACCTCTCGCAAGGGCACACAGGTACAATTAGAAGATACGGCGGGACACTTTACGTGGGCCGAGCGACACTTCAATTGCCTGTATGAGCCTGAGAGCTGTACCAGGCCAAAATGTACAATTAAATGATCTCAGTCGCTATCCACAACTGTGGGAATATCGTCGAAATTTACTAAAGAGAATTGACGTCCAATCAACAGTTACTTACCACCTTTTTACCGAATGAATTTAGATATTACCGTTTCAATTATTCGCTTTAATACAAATTTATATTTACGTTGTGACTACTACGCTGTACACGACCGAACAATTGTTACAAAATCAAATTCTGACTGTGCCACCGTTCGGCTTGAACGATCGACTCCTCGGTTTGAGGTGTTTACGCGTCGTGGATAAATGTCGGCTTGGCGAATTTATCAGGTCGGTTTGACCTCGCGATCGCGTACCGTGTTTCGCAGAAAAGATTTAGTGAACCGACTCGATTCGCTTCCAGATGTAGAATGTCGAATTTGATCCTCGCATCGACCTCCTTCGATCGCTATCGAGTGGGGATCGATGCGCACGCATAATTAGTGAAAGTGGGGTAAATATTCTATCGGTAATCCCTTGAAATAATGATCACGACGTGTGCTCGGAGTAGGGATACCCCGTATCGCGGCTATACATGAATAGATATATACGGTGTGCTTATATTATGTAACCAGCATGGTTACAGTTAAAAGCCAGTGAAGTGATAGACACTATTAAACTACTCAAAGGTCGGGATGATTCCGGGGTCGAAGATTTTATTCGAATGGTTGATCGTGCTAGAGTTCGCTGCTGCGAACCAGATATCTTATTAGACAAAGTATTAGTTCTAAAAATCGTTGATCAGGCCGAACGTAGTATTCGACATGTACAAATAAATTGTTACGACGAATTATATGACGCGTTAAGAGTGAATGTCGTGCCACTAGTTTCTCCAGACACCACGAGGGACAAACTAAGTAGAATATTTCAAAGACATACTGAAAGTGTAATGAATTACACCCTTCGGTTTCGACAACAGTTGAACGAATATAGGTACGCGATCTAGAACGATCGGGGAAGGGGAAGCAGTAAAATTATGTACTAAAAAATCCGAAAAACCCTAGCACCCTCTCCGAAGCCCACAGTTATGCGCTAGAAGCCGAGATGTTAGAAAACGATCGCAGAAATGAACGATTATTGAGAAGACCATCCAGGCCGTTAGAACGATCGACGAATTCTAATCAGAACTCGCGACAATTTAATAAAGTATACGAAAACACTCCTAGACGACCGATACAAGCAAAGTGTAACCAATGCGGAAGACCGGGACATTTCGCGAATCAGTGCCAAAATTTTCGATTATCGCCTCAAATCGCACCACCGCCACGGATAAACGTAACTCGAAACACTTCGGGAACAGGGAAATTACGGTACATACGAACACGGTTCAGGAATGGATCCTTCGGCTGGTTGCTCCTTGACACAGGAGCAGGATTAAATTTGATAAAATCTAAATTAGTAGGCGATCACGAAATTGTAAACGAAGAACGGACATTTTTAATGGGTAATGACAGGCATATTAGTAAAGGAAAAATTAGGATAAACTATTTTAATAGGGAACACGAATTTTTTGTAGTATCAGATAATTTTCCATTATTAGAAGATGGCATAATCGGACTTCCTTTCCTGGAGAAATACCAATATTCCATAACTAACATCAATCTAATATTAGACGGAAGGAGCATAGAGCACGAGACAGAAATCTTTATTCCACCTAACAAAATCCATACCACAGAAATTCCTATTAATGAACACCTTTACCTAGTACACATATACAACCCCACTAACGAAACCCTCATCTACCCCATCCATGAATTGAATCCCTCCATAGCACAAAGAGTCGAAACTCTAAAGAACAAAATTAGTTTAGAACACGTTGATCTGTCATTAAAGGTCATTAAAGGCGAGTATAGAAAAGGTGATAGTTTCATATAATGATGTCTTTTCTTTTGACGATGAGGATTTACCGTGCACTAATTTGACTAAGCATGTCATAGAATTAAAAACATTACGACCCATAAACATTAAATCATACAGACCACACGAGGTACACAAGGAGGAAATAGACAGGCAGGTAGAGAAAATGTTAGATCAGGGAATTATAGAAGAATCAGATTCACCGTATAATTCGCCAATTTGGGTTGTGCCAAAGAAGTCGGATGATCCAGGGAAACGTAAGTGGAGATTAGTTATCGACTTCAGACGCTTAAATCAAGAAACAGTCCAAGACGCCTACCCCTTACCACCCATAGACGAAATTTTAGACCACCTAGATAAATCTAAATTCTTCTCCGCGTTAGATTTAAATTCGCGATTAAGTTAGATTTTTTCCGCGAAAAATTAATTAGGATCCGCGGAAAAGAGCAAACCGTTATCCCCGATACACCTCACGAACCAAACGACAAAATCGCAATAGACATACTTGGACCGCTAACACCTACCAACAGAGACAACAAATACATCCTCTCAATACAAGACGTACTGACGAAGTACTTAGTATTAATTCCAATAAAAGAGATTAGCACTACAACAATTATAGACGAACTCCTACGACATTACATATATGTATTAGGTGTACAAATGAATAATCCAAATTATTTTAAGCTGTTATAAAATTAATGCATTTGGTGGGATATCAAGGGCGTGCTTTACTATGAGTTGTTAGAACCAGGTGAAACAGTTACTGCAGATTGCTACCAGCGACAATTAATCTGCTTGAGTCAAGCATTGGAAAGAAAACGACCGTATACTGGCAAAGGAGAACGACCAGTGAAACTGTTGCACGACAACGCGAGGCCACATATTGCTTGCAATACAAAAGATGTCATAATGAGTCTTGGATAGGATGTTTTGCAGCACCCGGCATATTCACCGGATACTGCTCCGTCAGATTATCACCTATTCCGGTCGATGCAACACGCCTTATCTGATATGCACTTCCAATCAGTGGACGAGATCCGAAAATGCCTTGACGACTTCATCGCGTCTAAAGACGTAACATTCTTCCGAGATGAAATTCATCAGCTACCAGAAAGATGGCTTAAAGTTATAGAAAGAAATGGCGACTACTTTGATTGAACAATTCAATTTAGTAACTTTTAAAATAAACCTTGAATGAAGCAGAAAAATTGGATTATTCATTTGTATACCTAATATATATTTTCGGCACCTAAACATATATTAACCGACCAGAGCTCAAATTTTATTAGTAAATTAATGCAAGAATTTGAATTGCAGTTCCAAATCAGGCATATTAAAACAATAGCGTAAGTAACGTAGTTACGCGAAGTTCCGCGTAAAGTAACGTAGAATAACCATTGCAGGGTGATTCTTGAGATTAATCATAACACTATTCGAGCGGAACTCTGCACTTCTCGAACAGGCCACTGTAGGGTGGTAAAGACCATACATCACAACACTATTCGAGTGGAACCCTACACTCTTTGAATAGATCATCGTGAATAATTCTACGCAATGTGGATTATAACACGAATTGAAACAACATTGAGCGAGACCCTGTGCTCCTCAAATCAATCAACAATCATACTCAACACATACACCACGTATACATACTCATTCACACTTTCACCGTTCAATCACTAACAAATACATATATTGCAAGGGGTTTTTTATGCCGCAAGGCTTTTTCCCCTAATTCGAGTCATTCGAGCCAATAAATTATCATGATTTTTCAAACTCAATTCTGTCTAAACAATTTTTATTTAGCCTTCTTCTCAATCACATTCATACATTCCTTAGAAACACGAAATTTCTCCATGTTGGAAACATTTCGACGATACTCTAATACTTCTATAAAAAAAAACAATAATATGCGGAATATATTGCTTATTATATTTTTAATCAGTACAATTTCGTTAGTTACTTTAAAAATGTTTAGCTTTTCTACAGACCCTGATTGCAGACTTTTGACCGATGAGATTTATTAACATTGCTTATCTAACGTGCTATTTTCTTACTGATCACATTGGGCACTTGTACTTTTATTTTTGTATAAAAATATATATGAAAACATCTTATTATATTGCCCATAGCTTCAATCGTGTATGAAAGTTGATCTTATATAGAAATATATTCATAAAAGACTCTTACCTTGCCCCTTATAGAGTATAAGCGACTATTTACTTGACGAAATTGGTCTGCTAAAGCTATACTGATGAGAATGAGGAACAAATCGACGAAGTTCCATGAGAATGTACTTAAAATATTGATTATATCAATCAGTATTCCTTTCCATAAGCTGTATGAAATCCTAGAAAATATCTGAAAGGACAATAAAAATGATTTTTAATGAGAATAAAAAGAAATATTTATTTATTACAGATAAAGTAAAATTAAAAGCATTAACTCACTTGCGGGAATTGCGACTGGAAATAAACACCTGTAATATCTGGATCTCCGCGGAACTGAGCACAATCTTTAGCCCTGATGTACCCATGTAGTATTGAAAAAGTATGTTCCACTATAAAAAGTCCGTTTAGTTTAATAATTAAATAAAAATATTAAGACATTTTCAGTAATGTAAAAATGATATAAAAATCATAGGTAAGTACAGTAAACTATCGGTTATCCGCAGAAGTATGGACCGGTCCTATTTCGAATAATCGAAAACTCCCATAACCCGGAAAAACCTTATTACTTTCTATTTCATGACACTATTCTTTGTCAAAAGAACAAATCATAACATTGGCCATAATACTGTTGATCGCATTGTAGTTTTAAGAAATAATCAATTAAATTAATAAATAAAAGATTATTCCATTAATAAAAGTTAGTTTATAGTAAAATATTCATTCTGTAGTGTCTGTTCAGGAAAAAAATTCAGTGGTATAGTACGTCCGTCCTTCTAATACGAAATGGATAGAAGAATCCTCTTCCGATTTTCATGAAAATTCGTAAATTTGTCAAACACGCAAAAATGAGGGACAAGAGTGAAACCACTCTTAAAAATTTCTATCCACAAATACTACCTCGAAAACTACTAAAGATGCATGAAAACTTTTAATAACAATGTTTTACAGGTTTTTATGTATAGTTATAAAATATAAATAAATTGACCAAAAAACAATATATTTACGACAAAATTATTTGTTATCACCTTATTTTCCATGCTAATTATATTTGCTTATTGATAAGTGACAAACATTTTGTTCTTAATCCATTGATATATGTTTTTTGAAGTTGGCTGTTATAATGCTTCTGATTTTTATTGTTTTATTAAGTCACTGCGCAAATACTAATTCGAACTGTACCGATCGATATTATACTCGTAATCAATGTTATTTGTAAACTTGTGTAAAGAACTATTCTTTTTGTAATATGAAATTATTAACTTCATTTTTGTTGCTTGAATCACAAGCAACAAAAATTGTCGTATTAAAATAAATGCTGGAATATATTATTAGATTATAAACCTAGAATGAGGCAGATCATTTTGAACGTAACGAACATTTTCGTTACATCAACATTTGAAAAGTTTACAAATGAACATTTTGAAACCTAGAAAAAAAAGTTTTTCTTTTAAACACTAACGGAAAAACGGCTATTATTAGATTCCTGGAGCGAAACCTAATAGCATTGTAGTTATAACATGCTCTTCTACTTTTGGTTATCACATTAGGTAATTAGTGAAAAGTAACAATATTATGTTACAATGAAAAATAGTAGTGAAATTTGCAGTAAAGTAAGTTCATTGACCTAGCCTTAACACCACTGCTATACGGTGTTTCTTTTTTTACAAAAAATCAAATTCTGCAGAACGACTCATAAGGGACATCACCCAATTGCTACACGCCGATTTTAATGAAATTTTTATGTTATAGAACTCGAAAAAAAATTTAACATGTATTTTTTTATCGGCAAATATCCACTTTGAAGTAGTGAAAATAACCCTTGAAGTTGGGGTTGACAAAAAATACAAAATGGGAATTTTTCTGTTTTGGAAGATCAATAACACGGCATAAGTGAATTTTGTAAAAAATTGTCCATTAAAAAAGATATTAAAAATTAACATTATTTTGTAAGTTTTTTTAATAAAACGTTGTACCATTTTAATTAAATTTCACATACATAAACTATGGGTCCAACGAAAAAATACGGATAAATTGGAATTTTTAATTTCGCTTCTGGAAAGAATATTACTGTCATTGAAGTTATACGTACATTTCATACCTTCCGTTCGGTGCACGACTGATTTCTATACATAATATTCTGGAAATCATATTGTATTACATTTTTTATACTACTTTATTTAAAAAAAGAATTTGAAGGTCCATAGGTGCCTCTATAAAACATTCTATAAAACCCGAGTTAAATATCCCGGTTGCTCCGCGCTGCTGGTGGTAGTATTGGATGTACGCAAGATCTAAACGCATAATTATACATGCATAAAGTGTAATAACTTAATGATTAATTTATATTACGCAATTAAAGGATTATATTTGTTCACTGAGAACTGTTCCATGTTCTTGAAAAATATAGTAGCTCTGAAAAGTGTTCCGAGTTCCTCGGAATATAACACTATACAACAGCCAACTGATTTCGTAACGGCTACTATGAAATTCTTATAAATTTTTGCGAGCTAAATACGAATCTGAAATCCGTTTTTCTCTAGGACGTACAGTTTTTGAGAAAATTAATTTTTAAAAAAATTGCAAATTTTCAACTTTGGAAACTTTTTGTACTTTTACCGTAGCAGCTATTCAGTGGCTTTTTCCACGAGAAGAATCTGTGAATTTTCCTGAATAAAACTATATAAATTGTTATTACATTGTAAATATTTAAATATGTTTAAATGATGATCAAAGTAAGAAAAACACCAAGAACGCACCAATTTTTCCTGATATTTTTCAATTTGTTTAAAAAACTATGGGTCTAGGCGAAACTCTAACCATCGCACAAGACAGAATAGACACTTCTGCAGAAGAAAGCATCAAGCGAAGTTACAAAATCACCTTTGCTTTCTTTTAATAAAAAAAAGAGTTCAGCAAAACACGCGCCGCTGTCAGTGGTACTCCATGTTGGCGCGGCGCGGCAGTCGCGAAATAATTATTTCGTTACTCCAAGACAATAGGTAGGGCGTCTTACATTATCTTCGGTGAAGCATACTCACTTATACGAATTATAGTAACTATCAACAGCAACAATATTTAACAATCATTACAACTTGTGGGATGATGATTTACATCCTTCGTTGACCTGGGCACACCAGCGTGAAGGACTCTGAACCACTTCACAAATTCTATTTTATAACAATAATTTAATATATAATTTCCATCTCTCTAAAAAGTTGTGGAAACGCCATGAGTCGAAGATTTACAACCTTTGAGAACAGCAATAAAAGTTCATATTTTACTCACCGCGCGAACAAATATCATATTTTTTTTATAATTTTGAAAATAGTGATTTTTATTTTGGAGTGGTCTTCTAAATAAACTATTATAAATGTAAAAAATGGAATGCGGTTATGTATTTTAAAATTGAAGCAGATATCATTATTTCTATATAGTTATTACAGTAATGAAAATTTTCAAAAAAATGTACTAAGCAAATTTAAAATGACTTTTACACCACGAATATTTTACTGCAACTACCTCTGGACAATTTGAGCAATACATGGTTTCAATTTGATTGAAACTGAAATCTATGGAACATTATCAAAATGTTCCGGTCTGCTGTTGATGTAACCACACCGAAACCATGCGTACTTAAATAGCTCTTCATATCTAGGTGCGGATAATTGATTATGAATTAAAGAGTGCATCTTGACAATTGCGTCCGGTGCACGTAAATTAATTTGTAAATTTAACGTAAATACAAGATCCGATATTTTACGCGCGAAATTTTTCCATATTCTGAAACCATATATGTACATCCAAAGTCTGTATCAATTCAGTAGTGTTTTTTGGAATAGTCAAAACTGTTACGGTTTTATTTGATGCAGTGATATTTGTTATCAAATTTTGATCCAACCATTGTCTGAAAAGGTCTTTGTTTAATTTTCCTGATGCTGATACCCCGATAATAACATTACGTGCCGTAAATACTCTACTTCTTACCCGTGGTGCTAATGGACCACTTGCTTCTTTCAAAACGACAAACAGTGGAGACAAAAGTTGATCATCAGCTGATATGGTTGGTTGAATATTGTAAAAATGAGTTAAGCAGATGAGGACTGTATGTCTTTCACCTCTCCATAAAAGCGTCCTTCCAGAGTGCATTTCAAGTTGAAATCTTGGTCAGAATTGAAAATACAATATTTATTGCGCCATGACTATGAAAATATTGAGATACGCTTGACACAAATTCATTAGTTCGCGTGTTTATTTCAGACAAATTTTCAGAATAATTCCTTGAATTCCTCGTTTGAATTTCCATAACCACATATGCGATGCTTAAAATCCTTCGAAACTCCACTTTTGCTTCTCCTGTAATACCCAACGTCTTAAATCAATGTCATGTACCATTATATTTCTATTACGCGCTAAAACAAATTTTTCTAGTACAATATCACCAATATCATGAAGTTTATCAATTTCCGATCCACCGCTACTAATGTGCTGTTCCCATGTATATAATTGTGCACGACTTTTTAATTTTTTAAATCTCGTTTGTACACTTTTGAAAGATAATGGTCTTTTCCTACCACTATTCCAAAAGTTTACGGCATTCTTCTTGTATTCAATACTAATATGATCCTTTCCAAATATATTTTCGTCAGGTCAATTAGACGAAGATTCACTTACTTCTGCAGGTGACGATGATACACTTATTTCTGGCTCTTATGGATCGCATGATCGAAATTTATCTTCATCTACATCATGTTCAAATAATAATTCCTGTTTGGTTTCGATTTCTGCATGACCGGCTTGTAAGTATCGATTAATTAAGTCCGTAATAGTATGAGCTACATCAATTTCTTTAGCGTTTACAGGTGTACGTTGAACTGTATCTTCATAATTATAGGAATCTATTAAAATACTTATGATATTAGCCGGATTTATTTTCATAGCGATACAATTAATCGATTAAATAAAAAATAAAAGAGATGTAAATATAAACCGTTTAAAACTAAATGAACTGATAATACTACTAGTTGATTTGGAAATCGTACTAGCCTTATTGATGTATATGAATCACTTATCACTTACTTTGTCTCCGCAACAAAAAACACAATTATACATATATCACAATCTTCCAGCACACGTATTGCGATTTTGTTCTCTACTCGCAATTAACTGCTAAATGGTTCGATCTTTAAAATAATATTTTAAAGATTACTTTAACAGTAATATTTTGAGAGGATAAAATGCATGGATTGGTTGATCACTTTTGTAACAATCTTTGGAAAGGGAAACTATCGATTTACCTGATTGTCAAAAAAATTAAGAAAAAGTAAAGGAAATAGTAATTGTCTATAAGACAGCGGTAATTAGCTTTCAGGTATAGGGTGTATCCTTCAGCAACGGAAATAGACAATCCCACGCGCAACGAAAAATAACCGCAACAATTGAAAAGGTACCTTGACTGTGATGAAAAATTGTGAAAATAAATCGACATATAACGATAAATGCTAATCCCCGACAAACAGTTGCAAACAATAAACGTAAAAATCGTTCAGCGCTAAAATGTTAAATTACTATGCTTGGTAGTATCATAAAATAATAAAAAATGATGATACAGAGTGGAATCAGTTTTCGAAAGTGTCTGTTATAAAACAGAAGTTCAAAATGTGAAATAGCTCTAAACGAATAAGTCACCGCGCCGCGTACAATCATAAGCGTCCATAGGTCCTTCGAACAATAAATACCATTATACCGAACATATTTACCTGTTTTGTTAACCATTGCCAATGAACAGATTATAAAAAAGTATAATATAATACAATTGCCAAAATACTATGTATAGAAATCAGTCGTGCACCGAACGGAAGGTATAAAATGTACGTATTCTGGAATATTCCATCGACGGAAATTATACTATTTCACTCTCGATCTTACAAGAAAGGAAAAAATTGTTCAGTATCTCCCCAGCTACCACTCCTTGAATTATATCCAAGTAGCTGGTAGCCGAACTGGTAGCCGAATTGTACCCTGCATGTTTATCGACTAGCTTTTGAAAATTCATTTATTACAATACATAACGGGTTATTATGAATGTACAGTGATTTAGATTTTATGGCCCATACTGCTGTTGTTCTTTGCGTTTTAAGAATAAGGAAGTAACACATTCACGTTCTTTAATATATGTAATTACATATACATATCCCAATAATGTTTCCTGTTTCAATAAGTACAGTACGTTCTACAATGTTTAAGCACTTTTATATATGTTTATTATTAATATTTAATTCATTATTCATTTTTGAAATATTATTTTATGCTTATACTTAAATAAAACATATTTAATACAAAGAATTCATAGTTCCTTTACATACACAATTCGTTTTAGAAGTGTCAAGCTTTAATTGTATACACTCATTATTTGTTTTCTCAATCTTTCCTTGTATTTACTTTCCAGTAATTCCATTTGAAGGAATATGTTTAAAACAAATAATAATTAATAGTAACAAGATAATAATTAAGATAATAACATGAATGGTACTTACCTAAGGCAAATATCATCACCACTATAGTTACGATTTTGAACTTCGTAGACAAAGTTGTTTTAGAAAGTTTTCTGTGTCTAGTTGACAGTTCTTTTTCAAGTTTTTCCCAAGTTACCATTAAACAAGGCCACTGCATAGCCAGTTTTAGAAAAAGGAAGCTTGCGATTAAGTTTGTTCCATTGAAAACGAAAGTAGCTTGCAAACATAAAATAGTATTATATAAAATTTCAACGATATAATGTTTTATTCATAAGTTACATCAAGAAAGCCAATTCTTTAACAATTGATGCATTGCAATTGAAACTGTGTCATTTTTATAACATGATTTGTTTCAATCTTCCATAATAATAATATTTAAGAAAACAGGGTGAATTTCATCATGCAATGTCTTCAAAGACTTCATAAATCATTCATTGTAGGAAGAAGTTTTCAAAATGAAAACTGCACCATTTTTAAAGGCAGACGTAGTACTTGATTTAGTTTCTTGTTATTTTGCTTTTTTATCAAGATATGAAGGTCATCTTCAGTCTTTTTAAACGGAATGTCTGTCTGTTCCTCGGTTCTGAATAAAACATGAAGTTTCACCTAAAAATGTATTACGAGAGATAGGATTCAAAGTTAATAATTATTGACATATTTGCAAGTTAATAATCTTGCATCAAAAGTAGATTGCAGTCAATGTTTCTGCAATGCAACTTTCTTTATAACAGCACATGTTTCTAAACACAGTTTTTATTAGATCTTAAACATTGCCAACGGTAGGTGTGTTAATATTTCATTATCAGTTCAGTTTCCGAAGTTGAACAACAGTAAAGAAATATGATATAATAATTTCTTATGGGATAAAATGAGAACTAAAATATTGTATCAAACTAAATACACATCTTAATCGAAATCAGTCATTGCACGCTATTTTACATTTCGTTTTATCTTCTCACATTTTTTCATTTTTTACAACTACAGTTTATGATAGCAAATATGAAAAATTCTGTAATATGGGCCATTATGTACTCAATATTTCAGAATTTTTTTATGTTAGCCGTGTGCAAAGGTGGCACACGTGTCAGGGTCATCGTATCCCGGATTTTGACCCGGTTCTCAGGGGTCTTGGGATGATAATAATACAAACTTATGTCCGTCATCGAGCTAAGGATCGGTGGTAACCGATATCTAAGGACCGCGACGAATTTTAAGAGTCGCGAATGTTGTGATTAGAGGTTAATACCTTTTTCTTTGAGGATCACCGAAGGTGTCGTGCCTCGTGGCCGATGACCCGACGTCATGGTGCTGCGTGGTGCACGGAGATTAGGGTATTCTAGTAGGATCTGATCACAGAGTGGGGAGGATATTGCATCCTTTGTAAAGAGGACCTTGAGAGACGGCAAGGCACTTAACCCAGAGAAGAGATGGCTGGCTGTCGTGGCGAGCGCACGTGTTCGGGGGTCCCTCCGCGTTGGTGGGAAAAAGTGGTAAAAGTGTGGTAGATAGTGTTGTGAAGTGAGGGGAAACTGCGGGGGAAGAGAGCGGTGAAAGTTTTGTGAAAATCGGAGGTGGAATAATGAAGTTATAAATAAAAAACGAAATTTCGGTAATGGCGACCTCCACGCGACGCGAGGGAAAGCATGGGATGCAAACCCATGACAAGTGAGGAGAGCGAGGAAACGAGTGTTCGAGCCGACCGCGGAATAAAATAAATATGTGCACGACTTAAACACGATTATTTTTATATATCGCGAGTGAAAATAGTGCAATTTAAGGGTGAAAGTTGCCCTCGAAGAAGGACTTGCGCGAACGCGTGGTCGTGCGACATGTCGAAGTTGCGAGAGAAAGTCGCAGAAATT